CGCCTCTAATGAGTTTCAACCTACTTTGAAATGCTTTCACGTTTTACAATTCTTCTCTAATAATAATATTTCCACGAAAGTAAAACACTAAAATCACAATTACTGTCAACCAAACTAAAATAACCTTAAGCGCTGTGCGGTTCGATCAAAGCTAACACATGGTGACTTGAAGACAAGACAGCAGCTGTCTGTCTCAATTTTCTAATTAAATATATTCCTGACGGCAGTGGTCGACCCCATAGAAGCTGTACTGGTTGTAAGTTGCGATAGGGCAGATTCAAATAATTAGAATTAGACGGAAGGAACTCAGGTGAAAGTGGCAAGGTGAAAAGTGTATCTCAAATTGAATGCCAAATCAAAGTTTAATTTTAATTGCCAATATAAAAGGGTATTGAAAGTAATGAAATTGCAATTTCTGCTGAACCGTGATTGCTGCTAAGACCCAGCGTGAGTAAGCATAATACCTCGATCTTATAGATTAAAACATTTAATATTTACGGAAATGTTTTCGTTTAATTAAAAGTAAATATATTATTACAAAATGAGCGTGTAAAAATTTCATGTTGTCAATTTTTTTTTGAAGAAACGTTATTTTGAGCAAAAAAATTTGTATTTTTTGAGAATGGTGGAACACGGCCGCTTGCGCAGTGAATATGCAAGCCGAACGCTATAAAATCAGAGTGTGGGTGCGGAAATTGCAATTGCATCGAACACATGCAATGTAAATACACTAAAAAATATTGTAGAATAATAAAAAATAGTTAAAAGAATTTACGGTGTAAAACTTTACCCAACAACACACCCACACACACATAATTGTCCCCATACTACGTGTCCATATACACTGTAAGTCCTTATTTTGATTTTGCTTTTGATTGGGTCCATGTACAAATTTGCATTTCACTTTATTTTCATTGTTGTCTGTCCATACCTATGCATGTACAGTTACCGTTACATATGTACAGTAGCGTGTCTGTGCGCATTTAGCTTTTATTCAATCTGTTCGTTGTTAGGTTTTAGGCACGACTACACACTCATTCAGTTCCTTTTATTACCTATGTATATTTGCTGCATTTTTTACAAATATTTTTTATTTTTGTTATTTTCATTTTCTTTCAACCGTTCAATACCGGCAATTCAACTTGTTTAAAATACAATCGAACGGAACACGGATGCGGATGCTGATTGCCATATAAGTAAACCCAACATATTAGTGTTGTTGCTGTGCGTGGCGGGTGGCCATTTAATTGCTTCCCCAGGAAGAGCGAACTAACAGCGTTGTTTTAGCATTTTAGTCGGAATTTTTGCTTTTCAATAACGTTTTTTATTATTCATATGTATGTATATGTGTGTACATACATACATATGTATATGTTGCCTGGTATGCATGTGTTTGTGTGTTTTTATAGCATACAGTTTTATTTAAAATACCGTTATTTTCCAAGTGCAGGTAACACGAAAGTTGTTACCGTTCGAACCGCGAAGAGTGTAGGGCATGTGGAGATAGCGGCATTGCTAAATCGTTATAACCGACGTGGAAAAAGCATATTTTTATTGCCGCGCATTGAAGTGGAAATGTAAAGCGTGGGAATGCAAACTTGGTAATTGTTGAAAAATAAAGTAAACAAGAAACAAGTAAGGAAGTGCAAAGTTCAGGTGTAACCGAACAATATATTTATGTATTTTTTCATGCAACTGGTTTTTAAATAAGAGCGCTAGAAAAGTTATAAAATAAAACAAAACGGTTTGGAAAGTTTATCAATTGTCGCTGGCTGTGTTGGCATAGGATATAGATTTGACGTAGCTCTACAGGAAATGGTTTGGAATGGTCTGGAACGAGGCAGCCGGCAGCCAATTGACTACGCCATTTCGCGAGATAACACGTGCAACAAACTTGGTTTTCAATAAATTCTGGCGGTCCAGCAACTTCAGTTCTTGCGCCAATTTGATCTTGTAAGGCTGTAGGTCAAGATCGTTTCGCAAAATTCACCACAACGCCGTCATAGAGATGCCCAACGCTTGAGAACAACGTGTGGGAGACAGATTGTGGTCTTTCTCAATTACGGTCAATTCTTTGTCTCACTGTGGATTCAAATTTTTCCACTAGACGCTAAATTTCTGATCTGACAGTACGATTTTAACGACCATAAATTTCGACTCGTTGTTAGATCGTTTATGTTTCCATAATGAAATGGCGAACCTTACTGAAGAGAAATGTCAAAAGAGCGGGAAAAATATGACGTCGCTTTCTGTCCCGATTCGTCTACTTTAAGAGCGTGCCTATTGACAAGAAAAAAAAAAAAAAAAAAAAAACCGTTGGTATTCTTTGCTAACAGTTTGGACGGTCGAAAGAATTCGGAGTGCCTAACACTCCGATAATCTAAGAAAACTATCAACATAACATTGATTTTTGAAATGCTAAGTTTTTCTACTTTGCCGCAGCTGTGCCGCGATATTCGGCCGATTCATCGTTTGTTTTCGGGTAGTCTTCTTACTACTCTAAGACTCGTTGTCAGTAGTAATACATTTCATGATAGTCGGAAAGCATTCTTTTACAGCCGTTTAGGCGTCGCTAGTTTTCGAAAAAATTGAGTGATTTCGGAACCAATCGTGCTGTTACTTTTCTTAGACCCAAAAATTCGTTCAAAACGGTTCCTTTCGATATTCCATTCCTTCCGATATTCCAACGGTTCTGGTAAGATTTCCGACTGTTAATCATCGGTTTTCAAGCACCAATTCCTTTATTTTATTAACGAGTTCTCGACCCTCTTTGAATAGTTTGCACCAATTAAAGTCCCTATAATCGACAGTCATCTTGTGACATCGCCTAGAAGATAGGAGTTAGTCATCAAACCATTTTAAACCATCAGCGGAAGGCTGGATACACAAAAAAGCTTTGATGATTTGATCTTTTGGACCGAATCAACGCTTGTTATATGCTGCTGAAACAGAACGAACTCGACCCATTTTTGAAGCGCATGGTGACTGGCGATGATAAAAGGATCACATATAACAATATCAAGCGAAAACGGTCGTGGTCGGAGGCCGGTGAATCGTTCCATACAGTGGCCAAGCCGGGATTGACAGCCAGGAAGGTTTTGCTGTGTGTTTGGTGGGATTGGAAGGGAATCATGCACTATGTGCTGCCCCCATATGGTCAGAGGCTTAATTCTACCATCTACTGCGAACAACTGGAGCACTTGAAACAGGCGATCGACCAGAAGCGTCTCGAATTGGCCAACAGGAAGGGTTCCAACAGGATAATATCAGACCACACACTTCGCTGATGACTCGTCAGAAGTTACGGGAGCTCTGATGATAGATTTTATCGCATCCACCATATAGCCTGGATATAGCGCCAAATGATGACCTCCTGCACCGGTCCATGGCGAATGTTGTTGGTGTAAAGTTGAACTCAAAAGAGGCTTGTGAAAAGTGGCTGTCCCAGTTCCCTAGATGGAAACAGATTAACGAACGAAATGGCGCATATTTGAACTAAATCCGATCACTGTAACACTTTTTATAAAGCATTGAATAAGGAGCAAAAAGGCGGAAGGGAGATATTTGACATCCTAATACATAAATAGATTGAATTTGTGTTATATAAAAATTAAGCGGGGTTGTGGTTCTATTCCTATAATTTTTCATAATCCCCTGAAATTTGTCAAGCAAGTGCTGAGATATGGCTTTTCACCTGAAGATGATGTGACACACATTGCCTATTTTTTATACAGACTTCTAAAAATCGCCTTTTTGTTATCCCGAATACGGAGTTTAAAGTGTTTGACGAATTTATTTATTAAGCTATCGCACATTCGGTAGTCTCCAAAGTAACCTCTATATGGGGAGTGCATAGAGTTGGTTTTACACCCAACTTCACAGTAAACGGAGGAAGGGCGCTGTTCAATACAAAAAAAAAAAAAAAAAATTGTCTTGAGAAATGTTGAATCATTTAACTAAAGGGGTTTGCCAGATATGTACCTTAAATTTATTAGGGACCCTTTTTATGAATTGTAAATTTTTCCAGATAGCTTAAAACAGATCTTAGTGTTAACAAAATTATATTATGGAAGAGCAGAGTCTATCATTTCAGCCAGAGGAATTATGTTCGAAGTTAATGAAAAATATGGTGCGGATATGTCCATTCATCCGTGCCACTATGATGTGTTGCAGTTGCCAAGTCGGACATTGATATTTTCGTCTATTTTTTATTGGTCATATAATATTTATTGTTTTTGCGTTTTAGTAATATGCCAATATGTAAATTTTGAAATAAAATCCGATGTCTCTGAAGACCAAGTTTGCTACTTATGTGTTCATGGCTGTATAAATAGAAGTACGAAGTCATTTAATGAAACAACTAAACTGTATGACATAATTAATTGGAGTACATATTAACAATATTTGCATATTTCTTGATGTACATGTGTATGGATTCCCCTTTGTATAAATAAGATAAATATATGTATATATTAAAAATTAATTTCTTTATTGCGAAGCAAATAAAATAAAATATCGCGTGATTGTATTTCGCATAAACTTGCCATATAACCCTGCAAAAATTGTGTGAATTCTGTTTAAAGAGAATACTCTCGGACTACTCTCAATGGAATACAATTAGATATTAACTAGCTACAAACGAATAACTTCAGAGTATAATAGGAAAAAAGATCGATCTTTGTTTGCATTTCTCTTCAAATGTATGTAATAGTCTCTTTATAAAGATTTTCGTGCACTGAAGGGAACAATTAGTCTCCGCATAATCTCTACACTTTGCTCATAGAGAGGAGAGCAATTCGTTTCATATAAAAACGATCAAAAATTAAATTTGTCGCGTGTTACTTTGCGACTAATCGCAAACCCAATCTGAACTTGTCGCACTTTTTGCAGGGTTGGTAAAATGTACACATACACAAACATCTTAACGGATTTTAAAAGGTGTGGCTTGGTGAGTATAAAAGCGTTGCAATCAGACTATGTGGAGTATTCCAATGTTTCAGAGTAATCATGGTTAATGCGGGTAGTGAGTATCGTATCGAAGATGCCTTAAATGCTCCGGGGTGGATCAATGAAGAATTCTTTAAGCGCATTCTTGATAAAGACGAAAGTGAAAGTGTAAAGGTGATATAATAAATCGAAACGAGACCAAGCAATTAAAACAAACAAATAAAAAAAATTATTATAGATAAATAAATTGCTGCTCTCATCCGGCAGCTCCAAAATTGATAACTACGCGAGTGTACTGTATCGTGCTAAGATAAAGTATGCTTTGTGTTCCCAGCCTAATCAAGAGAAAATTCGTTCGTTTGTAATGAAAACCGAGCACTTCGAAGAAGGACTGCAGAAGGATAAATTGGGTGAAATGGCGATTTTTGAAAYCGAAGTGCGAATGTATACCATTGTGTTGCCGATGATTAAAGCGAAGCTGCGAGAGTTTGGCGATCAGACGGTACTGGCACCGAAGTGAGTTGCATAAACCATAATGTGTGATTTATCATATAATCCAAACAAATATTTCTCATTGGAAGTATGAAAATAGTAAAAAACATAATTTATAAACTGAATATCTATTATTTAATGTTTTTAGGATATTCCACAGCAGCTTGGAGATGCCGCGTAACATAGTGTTCGAAGATCTTGTGGCTGAAGGCTATTCTATCATTAGTGAGCGTCCCGGTAGTTTGGAGGAAATCAAGTTAGCTCTAAAGAAATTAGCTAAAATACATGCAATCAGCTATCAAATGGCACAGATGGTAGGTATTCACATATTAKAGGGGAGTGAAGTTCAAACAATRGAGCAAATCGTAAGATTGTTGTTGATAAGTAATCTTTAATTACACGTTTGCTTACAGGGAAACAAAGATGTAACTACATTCAAAAAGAACTACGTTAACACGTTGAATTTAGATGACTTTGTTGT